AGGGAGACTAACACAATAATTCATTTAAAACATTGAGAATTGAGAAGTTAGCCATTATTTGATTTGGCTTCTCACTCACTATAATGGACTTTCTTTGGTATCCAAGACATCTGACGAATGAATCTTACTTAGATTAAGCTCACCTCTGTCTTTCTGAATCGTTCGCCAACTAGTTCTTGTTCACTAAGAGTAATTCAGCTTATTCCATGACTGCCTTTCAAGTTCGATTAAATAAAACCCAAGTTTTAATCCTAGCTCCTCATCTTTGACCTTAGATGTCACCTATCACTTTCACTCTCAATTTCTTCATCTGCAAAATGGCAAGTCCTGCTTCTCTCATGTCATAGGGTTGTGGAGAAAGGGCAAAACCAGAAACCATTTATTAAATATTTACTGTGTTCCAGGTGCTGTGATGAGAATTTTATATACACTGAGTTATTAATACTCCCATCCCTATGAGACTGGTGGTATTTTCACATGGGAGACAGTTGAGGCTGGGTAGGTAGTAGGTAGTAAGGCGGTAATAAAACCAGGATTTGAACGCAGGTCTGTCTGGTAGCAAACCCTTGGGCTTAACCATTTTACTCTTTGGTCTGCTATGGACTGGTATTTAAGAAGGCACTAAGTAAATTTCAATTATTCAAATATTTCAAATGTTTTCCTTTAGGCCAGCGGTTTCAACCTGTGGGTCGCGACCCCTTTGGTGGTCAAATGACCCTTTCACAGGGGTCACCTTAGACCGTCCTGCATATCAGATATTTACATTATGATTCATAACAGTAGCAAAATTACAGTTAAGAAGTAGCAACAAAAATAATTTTATGATTGGGTCACAACATGAGGAATCATATTTAAAGGGCCAGAAGATTGAGAACCACTGCTTTAGACTGTTTTTCTTCAGGTGGAACATTTTGGTTTTTCTCAATTATTTTTTGGTGAGTTATTATTTCCCTACCCAATATCATTAGACTCATTGTCCTCATGGAGGACATGTTTTTCACGTCCCACTTAAAATGTAGTAACCAGAACAGAAGTCATGTCCTCAGGTGACTAGAGCTGGAGAAACCCATATTCCATAATGTTTCCCGGCTCATCACATCTATTTTCCATCAGTTTCTGAATCCAGATAAGCTAAAGCTTTGTTATTCTCTCACCCAGTTGGCTTCAAGGGCCAAACATGCTAGAACGTGTGTTTGAGTAGAATGAGTCAGTGTAGAATCTGAGTTCAATATCTTCAGAAATGTTCACAAAAAGGACATTGAAGCAGGGGGTCACTGCTCTGGGCAAATGCCTGGGTTGCCGGCTCTATCCCCCAACCCCTTCACTTACAGGGAAACGCTACCGTAACCTAACTGTACTTTCGGGCCTCTGTAGCCTAAGGGAGAAATTTGTTGGTGTTTAGTGGCTTGGAGGGAGATAGTCTCTTTTCCTGACAAAGTTGACTGTAAAATAAAATTTCTGAATTCTAAAGAGCACGAATGGAGCTAGAATGAGCCCAGTGAGCCCCATCAAAGCTAATAGGCCCCTGAGCTACAAATAATGAGCAGATTAACAAAAACCACAAGACTCATTTTTTCAGATGTTAGAGCTTTTTTAGTTCTAAATGAACAGGGTGTTGCTAATTTTATTACCTATTACTGCCATGTTTTTCTATTTTTGGCCAAAACAAAATGAAAAGATATTTTCTATTTCGTATAAGAATGGTTTTCCCCAGTAACACTTGTGAGAAAAAAACATGTGTTATAGCCACTTAATATATTTGTACGTTAAAATGCCACTCAAAACAGTTTGTTGTAGGTGAAATATGAATAGAAGGGCTAAAAATGGTGAGTTTTATTGATGGAACTGGTTGAACGCTAAAGCAAAGGTAGCTCCTTTTTGAATAAGATCTTAGTTTAGCAGGTGCCTTTCCTGAGAGATCTTTCTTGACGTCTGTATCTAAAGTAACATCTCTATCACGGTCATGCCATTCAGATTCATTTTCTTCATCTTTCCTTCAGAATTTCATTATTTATATTTGCTTATTGTCTATCTCTCATCCACTGGAATGCAAATTCCAGACCTTGTCTTGTTATCCCATGTGCAGAGGACACTGCCCATGATAGTCATGGTGTTGACCGAATGAGTCCATTTTTGAAAGCATAAAAAATTATTAACCACTTACTCTAGGCTAGCCCACCAGTTTATGTTCTTTAGATTTGTTTTTGTTTTTTGTTTTTGCTGCTCATAAGTCAGTCAGTGTTTATTATATATCTTTTCTCCTTTTCACTGTAGATTATTTATTTGTGGGTGTAATTCCAGTCATTCTGATTTTCTGTATTGTAGTGGAGAGCCTTTAGTAGACACTTAATAGAGCAGTGTTTGGTGTGAGGTGTAGTACAGCTAGATTTTCCTAATGAAGCAATAGAATTTAAGGGTTTTTAAATAAATAAATTTGAGTGGATTATTTCCCCTTTAAACATTATTTTAAAATATTTTTATTAATTTCGGAGAAGATGGGAGAGGGAGAGATAGAAACATTAATGATGAGAGAGAATCATTGATTGGCTGCCTCCTGCATAGCCCCCTACTGAGGATAGAGCCCGCAACCCAGGCATTTGCCCAGAGCCATGACCTCCTGGTTCATAGATTGATGCTCAACCACTGAGCCACACCAGCAGGGCTAGAAAAGTATTTAACTGACTTCTTTTCTTGAGTGTGAGAGAAAGGGGTGGGCTTCCAGGATATGTTCCTAACTTTGGGCACCCAAAAGCAAATACGTTGAGAGGAAAAACTGAAATCCATTGCTGCTGGGGTCCAACCCCAGCAGGTCCAAGGGTCCCCAAAGGTGTAGACGGAGTCGGCGAAGAAGGAATGACACGGAGACAGCGTTCAGTTGATCAGCAGCCTAGCCAGGATCTCCAGCCAAGTTCTGGTCTGGATCTCCAGAGTTCTGGCATTTATTGTCTTGTTACATCCGTATTTATAACAGTTGATTTTAATCCTGTCAATTTCTATTACAAAGGTTAGGGCGTTTCTTATCTCCATGCATAGCTCTCAGAAGGGGAGCAAACATATTAAGAACAGTATGCCATATACGCCAGGTCCCTTGAAACATATGCTGTGCAGATGTTTCTTCCCTGCAGCGACTGTGTCAAGCAGCAAGGATGGACCGGCTTCCAGCACATTGCTCTGGAGACAACTTTTGCATTTGCTACCTGGGCTAAGAGGAGTTAGATTAAGAGGAATGAGAGTGTGTTCTAGTCCTTGTTTCAGCTGAAGACAAAGTGTTGACTGTACAGCAGGACTCCATTGGATGCCTGTTAACTAGGTTAGATCGAAGCATGTGGTTATACTAGTATCTGATGGATGGTGGGAAACTCAGTGCTAGGTACCCTGAGGGGCCTTAGTAAATATAGGTTGATCTTAATAATAATGCTGGGACTCCAACAGTACTTAATGGTTTCATTTTCTAATCTGTAAGGGGAGATCAGGAAAAACCTTGCTGAAACTGGGAGGGTCTGGCCCAAAGTGTTTATGAAAATCATTTCATATCTTATGTTTTGGGGAATAGAAACCAAAGGGGAACAGTGTATTTCCTTATGCCCTTGGAGTTTCATGTCCTTATGTTTTGACCTTGACATGGTCATGGAATATGGTGTGTTTTTTGTTTTCTGGTGCTGAATAATAGTTTTCTTTTCTTTTTCTTTTTTAAAATCTTTATTGTTGTCAGTATTATATAAATAATATTTTTAAATTTTATTTTAACTTTTATTGAATTTATTGGGATGACATTGGTTAATAAAATTATATAGGTTTCAAGTATAAAATTCTATAATACATCATCTGTAGTTATATACATACTAGAGGCCCAGTGAACGAAAATTTGTGCACTTGGTGGGGGGGCGGGGGGGGAAGCAG